TTATAACTCTTTCTCTTACGTTGTACAGCCTTATAAATGGCTTAGATGAGCTCTCCTTCACTGAGTGATTCTCCTGGTACCTTTAAAGTGGACTGTAATGTAGCAGGAGCAATTCTGGAGAATAGGCCGAAATTCAAATTTCTGCAAAATTCTTCAGACTTTTTCTTCTTTCATCTTCTTCTATGCACCCGTTAATCTTTTAAGCCAGAGAAGCGCTCGAGTTGACTTTTACATCATTCCTCTAGGCTTGGGTCAAGGACCACAAAGGTAGTTTCAAAAAGAAGCGAGGACAGAGAAGAAATGGCAGACAAAATCCAGCTGCAGACACCTCGCGGGTTTGTGGTTTGACGCTATTTTAATTTATGCGCACGTGATCAGCATGAATATAATTAACCTACCACAGAATCATAACAGAATGTAATTTATTAATTTAAGAAAAAGAATGGAAACAAGTAAATAAAAAACATTAAANAATGGAAAAGTAGTAGGATTGAATTGGAAAAAAGTAAAGAAACATGAGGGTACTTGCAAACTGGTGTGGTAAAAAATCCTACACCACTGCATGAAGATTATAATCCAAAGCATTGCAATTATTCCACACANACTGGCTGCTATGATAACACTTTNAAGACTTTATCTTCATGCAGTGGTGTAGGATTTTTTACCACACCAGTTTGCAAGTACCCTCATGTTTCTTTACTTTTTTCCAATTCAATCCTACTACTTTTCCATTTTTAATGTTTTTTATTTACTTGTTTCCATTCTTTTTCTTAAATTAATAAATTACATTCTGTTATGATTCTGTGGTAGGTTAATTATATTCATGCTGATCACGTGCGCATAAATTAAAATAGCGTCAAACCACAAACCCGCGAGGTGTCTGCAGCTGGATTTTGTCTGCCATTTCTTCTCTGTCCTCGCTTCTTTTTGAAACTACCTTTGTGGTCCTTGACCCAAGCCTAGAGGAATGATGTAAAAGTCAACTCGAGCGCTTCTCTGGCTTAAAAGATTAACGGGTGCATAGAAGAAGATGAAAGAAGAAAAAGTCTGAAGAATTTTGCAGAAATTTGAATTTCGGCCTATTCTCCAGAATTGCTCCTGCTACATTACAGTCCACTTTAAAGGTACCAGGAGAATCACTCAGTGAAGGAGAGCTCATCTAAGCCATTTATAAGGCTGTACAACGTAAGATGAAAGAGTTATAAGTGTTTGAAAATCATAAAAACGGCCGCCATCTTGAAAAACCAACCTCAATCCTACTTATAGGCTACCGCCTATATAATAGAGAGGGTGGGTGGCACTGGGATTTCCCCCCCCTACAAAAAAATTCTGTATGAAAGCCTGCTCAATGAAGCAATTAAAATAAGTACAAATATACATTGTACATGTATGCAGAAGCCAGCACAGTTAAGAGTTCCCCCCCCCACAAAAAATATCTGTATGAAAGCCTGGTATTTGTATGCACTACTTACCCATCGGCTACAAGACAGACTGCAGCTATCACTCGCAGTACGTCAGTCATCATTCCTTCATTCAAAGGATCCATTGCAGTCACAAATATAACCAAACCATCTCCTTTCTGAAACATTTTAGTAAGTCCGTACTAAAAAAAGACACACGAGGGTGGGTAATTAAAAACACAAAGCACAATACTAGCAGTAGCAAATGAATACACTACATAATACATGTACATGTAAGTACTGTACATGTATTGAGGCTATTGTGGGTTGCCTAGTTTAATGTGTGTTCCTCCCACTCAACATACATGTCATGTAATAGTGTGACCCACAATAGCCTCAACATGTTTTGTGGGTATATAAAAAAACTAGGGGCCATTCTACTCTATTCTTATAATCAAACTAAAAATTTTTGGAGGGACAGCTAGTACTAGTTACTAGTAGTCCTGCTTCAATCTCTTCATATATTAACATACTAATAATTAATGGTGGGTGATACTGGCCAGCTTAGTGCTTGTCAGATCATGAACAGTACAGTACTAACAGTACCAAATAAACATGCTACACAATATACATGTACATGTATGCATGTACAGTACATGTACTGATAGAGGCGTATAGTTTAATGTGTGTTCCTCCCACTCAACATACACGTACATGTACAACATGTGTTAGTGCAACCCACAATAGCCTCAGTATGTTTTGTGGGTATATAAAGAAACTACACTGTACATGTAGGGGCCACTGCATTAGTTGAAGGTTCTTTAATTCTTGGAGGGACAACTAATACTAGTTACTAGTAGTCCTGCTTTACCCCTTCATTAAATATCATACAGTACAATTGTACTAATAACTAGTGGTGGGCAATACTGGCCAGTACTTCACAGTACTTCAGTTATTTGATCTGCCTAGTACCTGTTAGATCATGAAACACATGCTGTTTAGCTTACATGCATGTACATGTACATGTGGGCTGCTTTGTGATCAATTTCAGAATCATAAAAATAAAATGACAAACAGTACAATCAAAGCAGCCTTGGAATACATGTACCTACATGTGTACATGTACATGTACAAATTCTTCAACATGTTTGCCCCACACCTACATGTACATGTACATTTGCATGTACATGTACAATGTACATGTACCATATTTCCTTAAATAGAAGCCAGGTGCGGAGTAGCAATAGAATTGAACTATAAATACGCAAATATAGCCATCAAGTAACTCAGTAGCCTTGTGGATACTTCCTAAAGTTACTGAAGTCAAGTACATGAGATCACAGGTTCAAATCCTGCTCTGGCCCAAAGTTTTATTTTATTAAAAAATTTTTTTGAGGTCCAAATACCATTTTAGGGAATAAACGCCCGGGCTTTTATTTAAGGAAATATGGTACTTAATCATTAAACTCTAACAGGCCCCTTTATCCCATTCTGCCCCACCAGCGATACCTTATTGTTCATGAAGGCTCTGATACTCCTCACACACTGGTGCTGTATGCGTCTCAGTAGAACATCTTTAACCAGAAAAACTGTTACCAACACAAGCATGGAGTA